TACCATACTGTTTTGATTATTATATTACAAACAAATTATATTATGTTTGTGATATAATTTGAAATAAAACAGTGTGATGCCTCCAGCTTGTTCTTCTTTTTCAAGATTGCTTTGGCTATTTGGGGTCTTTTGTGGTTCCATACAAATTTTAAGATTGTTCTATTTCTGTGAAAAATACCACTAGAATTTTGATAGGCATTACATTGAATAGTAGATTGCTTTGGGTAGTATGGGCATTTTAACAATATTAATTCTTCCGATCCATGAACATGGGATATCTTTCCATATTTGTGCCCAAGGAAAACACTGATTTGCCTCTGTGCATATAGATTGACTATATTTTCTAGAGTTTCAGATAAATGGAATCATATCATATGTACTTTTTTTTTTCTGGCTTCTTTTCTTCAACGTAAAGTTTCTAAAATTTATCAATGTTATTGTGTGTATGTTCCTTCAATAATATTCCATTTTTATAGATACACCACATTTTAAAAATTAATTTAATTATTCATGGACATGTGGGCTGTTTGCATTTTGAGGCTATTATGAACAAAGATCTATAAATATTTGTGTACAATTCTTTGTGTGAACGTGTTTATTTCTCTTTAATGAACACCTAAGAGTGAAATAACCGAGTCACATTTCACATGTATGGAAAACTGTTAGGATTTTCTTTAAGGTAAAGTGCTTATACCATTTCCATTCATATCAGTGATGTGAGAAAGTACCATTTATTTCTCATCCTAACCAACAGTTAATATGATCAGTCTTTTTAATTTTACCAGTTAAAATGGGTGTATAGTGCTATTAATTTGCATTTCTCATCTTTTCATTTACTACTTGGCTGTTGGTACATCTGTTTAGAAATGCCAGTTCGAATCTTTTGCCCATTTTATCAGTTTGTTTATATTCTTTGATTTAGTTCTAATAGTTGTTTATATTTTGTGGTCAAAGAACATATTCCATATCACTTCAATTCTATGACATCCACTGAGATTTACTTTATGGCCCAGCAGATAGTCTATTTTAGTATTCCATTGTACACTTGAAAGAATATGTGTTCTGTTGACGTTGGGTGGAGTATTCTATAAATATCAGTACACTTGTTGGCTGGTAGTGTTGTCTTCAATATGCATAGCTATATATCTATGATTTTCTATTTGTTGTGTCAATTTCCAAGAGAGGAATGTTTATATTTCAATTTTAATTGTGGATTTGTCTATTTGTTCTTTAAATTCTTCCAGTTTTTGCTTAATGTCCTTTGAGCCTCTGTTATTGGGTACATATGTGTATGATTATTATGTCTGTGTGTGAATTGAACCATTTATCATTATAAAATGTACATCTATACACCTGATAATATGACTTGCTCTGAAGACCAATCTGTGTGTTATTAGTATAGCCATTCTAGTTTTCATAAGATTTTTGTTTTCATGGTATATATTATTCCATCATTTTATTTTTAAACTTATCAATGTTTATATACAAAGTGTATTTCTTTGTTTTTGAAGATTGGCCCTGAGCTAACATCTGTTGCCAATCTTCCTCTTTTTTTTTTCTTCCCAAAGCCCCAGTACCTAGTTGTGTATCCTCGTTGTAGGTCCTTCTAGTTCTTCCTTGTGGGATGCCGCCTCAGCATGGCTTGATGAGCAGTGAGTAGGTCTGGACCCAGGATCCAAACCGGTGAACCCCCGGCCGCCGAAGTGGAATGCGCGAACTTAACCGCTATGCCGCTGGGCCAGCCCCAAAGTGTATTTCTAATAGACAGTTTGTGTTTGGCTTTTGCTTTTTTAAAAATCCAGTTTGACAGTCTCTGCCTGTTGGGAAAAGATTCTCTATGGGTCCTGCATGTTTCTGTATGTTTTCTGAGCAAAGGTTTTCATATTTTTTGCTCTAGACTATCTTTTCAAGGATGTTTATATAGTAAGCAAACTTGGAAGACACAGTGTCTTCCCTAGAACAGATTTGTTACTGTCCAGTATAGTAGAGATAATGTCTCCCTCCAGAGCAAAAGTTGGGCGGGTTTGCTCAGCAGCCTTTTCTATACGCTTGGGGCTTCCTTAGCTGTGATAGAAACCCACTGTGTGCACAGTATCCACCTGGGCACACCTCTGCATCACCCTCATGGGGCTTGTGGAGTCCAGGGAAACCAATGCAAGCATACACTTGATACTGCCTGCTGTGCCAGGAATAATAAAGCCCTTTGTCTCCACCCAGTAGTCTCTTGTTTTCTGCCAGCATCCCTGAATCTGTGACGGTCTAACTTGTTATCTTGTAAGTATAATAAAATCTCATATCCTTCACAGTTCTTGATACTGCCTTTTAATTGGAGTATTTAGACCATTTAGATTTAATGTAGCTATTTATTAATTTGAAATTAAATCTATCATCTTGCCCTGTGTTTTTCTTTATTTTCAAATCCATTCTTTGTTCTCCTTTTCTTCTTTTTTATCATCATTTGGATGGATTTTCAGCATCCATTTTATCTCCACTATTAGCTGTACCTCTTTATTTGTGTGTGTGTGTGTGTGTGTGTGGTTTCTCTAGTATTTACAATGTGTGTCTTTAACATATCCAAGTCTACCTTCAAGTAATATACCTCTTCATGTAAAATATAAGAAACTTTCAATGATTGTACTTCCATTAACCCTCTTCCACCCTGTTATTGTTGTCATATATTTTACCCTGCATGTTATTAAAACCAAAATAACTAATTTTGCTTAAAACAATTAGTTTTTAAATAAATAAAAAGTTAGAATAAAATGACTTTACATTTACTTGTATTTGTATCATTTCCAGAGCTTTTCAGTGTTTTGTGTAGATCTAAGAATCTATCTGATATAATTTTTCTTCTGCCTTTAGGTAGAGAAAGATCTTTCTCCTGCAAATCTGGTAGTGATAAATATTTTTTGGCTCTTCTTATGAAAAAAAATCTGCATTTTGCCTTCAGTTTTGAAGGATATTTTTGCTTCATATAAAACTTTAGGTTGACTGTTTTTTTTTCAATCCATTCTTTAAAGATGTCATTCTGGCTTATATAGTTTCTAATGAGGTTTGTGGTTTTCTTATGCTTGATTCTCAGTATTTAATGTGCCCCTCTTCCTGCTGTTTTCATTTCTCTTTTCAGTGTTTTTCAGCAATTTGATTATGAGGCAATTTGGTAAGGTTTGGCCTTTATCTTGCTTGGTGTTCATTTAGCTTTTTGGATCCATGGGGTTAATTTTCATCAAATTTGGAAAAGTTTTGGGAATTCTTTTTTACTCCCATCCTCCCCTATTCAGACATTGCCAATTATTCATAAGTTATTATTCATGTGAGTTATTCATGCGATACTGTATCACAGCTCAGCAAGGTGCTAATCATTATTTCACTCCTTTTCTCTGCTTCAGTTTGGATTATTTCTATTGCTATATCTGCTATTTCTTCAATTTCAGTGACTTCTTTTTTACATCTAATATACTGTTAACGTCATTTAGTGAATTTTTAAATTTTAGATATTTTTCAGTTCTAAAAGTTCTATTTAGTTCTTTTTGATATCTTTTATTTCTCTCCTTGTTGGTATCATGTTTTTCTTTAAATTGCCGAGCATAGCTAACGTATGTATCATAGATGTTTAAACTAATTCTTCTAATTACATGATCTCTTTTCATTTCTGTGTCTCTTTCAATTGACTTGATTTCCCCCAATTATGTGTTACATTTTCATTCGTCTTGACACGCCTAGTAATTTTGACTGGAGACTAGACATTGGACATTGATAGCAGACAGAGAGTAAACAGATCTGGCCTTGTTGAGTTTCACCCTGTGCAAGTGCAGCTTAGCATTCAGCAAAGACTCAAGGCAAGCCATATGCAGGTCTACATAGTCCTTTGTATGGTTCCTTACTCTCTGGAACTCTGCCCTACAACTTCCAGCTACCCCAGACTCCTTGGATTCTAATCTCTGTTCCTCAGCTCATTCTCAGCGCAGGAAGACTGCTGTGCTCTGCTTATGGTCCCCTTCCCTGCATCAAGATCTGGAATGCTCTTCCAGACAGAAGATGGGCAGTCATAGGGGTCACCTTGTTTCTCTTCTCTTAGGGATCACAGCCCTTTTTTTTGACTTTTGTTTAATTTCTGAAAATCATTGTTTTTAATATTTTGTCCTGTTTTCTAGTTGTTTACGTGCAACCATAATTCTAGTACTGCTGTCATGCCTAGAAGCAGAATCCCCTTTACTTCAAACTGTATTTTGGAGGGTGCAAATCAGTCACTGCATATAATGTTCATGTTAATCCAGTACAGTCATGTGTTAATTAACGATGGGGGTACATTCTAAGAAATGTGTCATGAGGTGATTTTGTCATTGTGTGAACATCATAGAGTGTACTTACATAAACCTAGATGGTACAGCCTACTACACGCTGAGGCTATATGCTACTAATCTTATGGGACCACCATTGTAAACACAGTCCATCATTGACTGAAATGTCGTTAAGCGGTGCATGACTGTAGTTGGTAATTTTTTAATTTAGAAAATAATTGTGATAATTCTATTTGCATGTTAGGAATTACTTATGTAATGAAGTAAGCATTTGATACAGACAGATATGATTATCATTTATTTCATACATAAAAGTAAATTTAATTCAGTATCAAAGTTTACCTTAAATGAAAATTTTAATTACACTATGGCTTATTTGCAATATCAACACATAACATAGGCTTTAGTTATATTAAAACTCTCTCTTAGGATTGTTTAAAGATTTTAAATATTTTATTTAAACATAAGTCATTATAAATATATAGCAGAGAAAATCTATTTTCCCCTATTATTAAAGCATAATTCTAAATCTCCATATAAGTCAATAATCCAATTCCAGAAATTTAAACATGAGTATATTATTTTCAAAAGCCTATACATATTCATTATTATTTGTTAAAAAGCAACAGATCTTAAATTTACCACAGAAAAGAAAGTGGTAGGGAGATATAGTATTTAAGAAAATTCTAGAGCCTGTGGTTTGGATATTAAATGGTTGCACTGTGTTTATTTTGCTGAAATGGCAGAATATTGCCTTTAGTTTTCAAATGAAGCCAAATCACGAAATGTCACTTGATGTTAGAAATCTGCATATTTTGGTCTGACACATGATTTCTTCCATATAGACTCCAGCTTTATGTCCACTAGAAGAAATTAAAATACACAAAGAAAAAGAAATTCAGTTAAAATTTATATGAGGAAAACTTTATGCAAACTATAAATTATCTGGAAAAGCCATCAGAAGGAGAAGACTTTTTTATAAAAAAAGATTGTATAAGGAGCTAGAAATGCTATTCTAATTTAAAGTAAGGTCACATTCAGAGAGAAGCCAGATATGAAAATTAGCATTATCAAATAAATCATATCTGGGGATAAATATGATATAAACATTTTTTCTATCAGTCAGGCAACAAACACTACAAGAAGGAAGAATTTGTAGAAACCAAAAATAACATTTTGGAGGAAAGGTCAAAGTCAGTCTAGAAATCTAAAACGTTGTAGCATAAATTAAGAATGCCATTGATGGGCTCATCAGTAGACTGGACACAGTGGAGAAAGAATCAGAGAGCTTGACAATATGTCAATAGAAATTGTTCAAACTAAAAAGCAAAGAGAAAAAAGGATGAAAAAAAGTGAAATAGAATATCCAAGAACTGTGGGACAATTAAAATTGTAAGAAATTTTATCAATAATTAATAACTTCCCCAAACAGAAAGCACCAGGCCCAGATAGGTTCACTGGTGAAATCTACCAAACATTTAAAAAGGAAATTATACCAGTTCTCTACAATCTCTTGCAGAAAATAGAAAGAGAGGGAAAACTTCCTGACTTATTCTATGAGATCAGCATTACCCTAATACCCAAACCAAAGACATTACAAGAAAGGAAATGACAGACTAATCTCTCTCAGAGCATGGACACAAAAATCCTCAACAAATTGAATCCAACAATGTATACAAAGAATTATATACCATGACCAAGTGGGATTTATCCCAGGTATGCAAGGCTGGTTCAACATCTGAAAATCAATTAATATAATCGATCACATCAGCAGGCTAAAGAAGAAAAATCATACAATCATATCAGTAGATGTAGAAAAAGCGTTTGACAAAATACAAAACCCATTTATGACAAGAACTCTCAGTCAACTAGGAATAGAGGGAAACTGCCTTAACTTGGTAAAGAACATCTACAAAGCACCTACAGCTAACATCATATTTAATGGTGAGTAATTGGATGCTTTCCAGCTAAGATCAGGAACAAAGCAAGAATGTCCCTTCTCACCACTTCTATTCAACATCATATTGGAAGTCTTAGCTAATGCGATATAAAACAAGAAAAGTAAATAAAAGGTATACAGATTGGGAAGGAAGAAATAAAACTGTCATTCACAGATGACATGAATGTCTATGTAGAAAATCCCAATGAATCAACAATAACAAAAACACAAAAATTTCTGGAACTATTAATGATTAGGCAAAGTTGCAGGATATAAGTTTAACATAGAAAAGTCACTTGACTTCCTATATACTAGCAATGAACAACTTGAATTTGAAATTAAAAACAGAACACCTTTTACATTAACACCAAAGAAAATAAATACTTAGGTATAAATCTAACAAATATGTTCACGATCTGAATGAGGAAAACTACAAAACTCTGATGAACAAAATCAAGGATGATCTAAATAAATGGTAGAAACTCAATGTTCCTTTATAAGAAAAGACTTAATATTGTTAAGATGTCAGTCCTTTCCAAATTGATCTATAAATTCAACACAATCCCAATCTAAATTACAGGAAGATACTTTGTGGATTTTGACAAACTGATTCTAAATTTTACATAGAAGGCCAAAAGATCCAGAATTGCCAACACAACATTGAAGGAGAAGAACAAAGTTAGAAGACTGACACTACCCGACTTCAAGACTTGCTATAAAGCTATAGTAATCAAGACAGTGTGGTATTGGCGAAAGAACAGATAAGTACTTCATTCACTGCAACAGAGTAGAGAGCCCAGAAATAGACCCACACAGACAGTCAACAGATCTTTGACAAAAGAGCAAAGGCAATACAATAGATAAAGGATAGTCTTTTCAACAAATGGTGCTGGAACTACTGGAACAACATCCACATGCAAAAAAAAAAAAAAAAAAAAACCTAGACACCTTATACCTTCCATTAAAATTAACTCAAAATTTATGATAGACCTAAATGTAAAATTCATAGCTGTAAAACTTCTAGAAGATAACACAGGAGAAAAACTATGTGACCTTGGGTTTGGCAATGAATTTTTAGATACAACACCAAAAGCATGATCCGTGAAAGAAATAATTGATAAGTTGGACTTCATTAAAATTAAAAACTTCTGTTCTGGGAAAGACACCATTAGAAGAATGAAAAGGCAAGACATAAACTTGGAGAAAATATTTGCAAAACAATTATCTTATAAAGAACTGGTATCCAAAATATACAAATGACTTTTAAAACTCAACAATAAGAAAATAAACAACTCAATTAAAGAGTGAGCAAAAGATCTGAACAGATACCTCACCAAAGAAGTTATACAGATGGCAGATAAGCATATTAAAAGATTGTCAATAGTATATGTCATCAGGGAATTGCAAATTAAAACAACAAGATACCACTACACACCTGTCAGAATTGCTAAAATCCAAAACACTGATAACATCAAATGTCGGCATTGCTGGTGGGAACATCAAATGATTCAGCTACTTTGGAAGACAGTTTACCAGTTTCGTACAAAGCTAAAAACAGTTTTACCACAAGATCCAGCCAGCAGTTGTGCTCCTAGTATTTACCCAAACGAGTGAAAACTTACGTCCATGCAAAAACCTGCACATAAGTGTTTATAGCAGCTTTATTCATGATTGCCGATAACTGGAAGAAACCAAGATGTCTTTCAGTAAGTAAATGAATAAACAAACTGGGGCACATCCATACAATGGAATATTATTCAATGATAAAAAGAAATGGGTTATCAAGCCATGAAAAGATATGGAAGACCCTTACATGGATATTGCTAAGTGAAAAAAGCCAGTTTGAAAGGCTATATACTGTATGATTCTAATTATATGGCATTCTGGAAAAGGCAAAATTATAGAGACATTGGAAAGATCAATGACTGCCAGGGGCTTGCGGGGGGTGAAGGAGGAGGGAAGGGATGAATAGATGGAGCACAGGGAATTTTTAGGGCAGTGAAACTATTCTTTATGATAATGTAATGGTGGATCTAAGACATTATGCATTTGTCAAGACTCATAGAACTGTACAAGACAAAGAATGAGCCCTAATGTAAGCTATGGACTTTAGTCAATAATAATAATGTACTGATATTGGTTCATCGACTGTAACAAATGTATTAGCCCAATGCAAGGTGTCAACAATAGCAGAAGCTGTTGAGTGAGGAGGAGAGGGAGAGTGTATGGGCACTCTGTATTTTCTGCTCAATTTTTCTATAAACCTAAAACTGCTATAAAAATAGTCTATTAATTTAAATAAAAAGGAGGAGAAAGAAAAATTTTGAGGGTGATGGATATGTTCATTATCTTGGTTGTGGTGATGGTTTCATGGTTCACATGTGTCAAAACATTAAAAAAAGTACACTTGAAATATGTGCAGTTTACTGTATGTCAATGATACTTCAATGAAGCTGATAAAAAACACAAAACGATAGATATGTAGTAAGAGAGGGCTATTTTCCTGATCAAAAGGGAACTGCTTCAGCTGGCATATACTTTTTGCCCTTTGACCTATGCCCTTTCTCTTGGAATGTGGACACCATGTCTACTGATGTAGAAGCCTTTTTGAGGTCATGAGAATAAAAGCCATGTGAAAAGTTTGGAGGATCAGAAAAACAGAAGGAACCTGGGACTTCTCTGGTGATTTTTGGAACCACCATATCAGCCCTAGACTGCCTAGGTCAGGAGTTCTTGTTTGGAGAAAAAAAATGTACTGCTATTTGGTTAAGCCACTGTAGTTGAGTTTCTCTTATAAGGAACTAAAGTTACAATTCTTAACTGACATAGCTGTTCATTAATTGTGCTCATAAAATATTCTCTTTCAAAAATAAAATCAACAGAAAAATCTTAATTATTGGAAATAAAACTTTTCCCAAATCTTTCTATATTGAAATATAATCCTGTTTCTGGAGGTTGCCCAAATAAGGCTAGGGCTCACTACTAAGTTGAAAGAGGAATGGATGAGGAAAATGGGGACTTTTACCCTGAAGAAAAGCCTGAATATGAAGGAAGGTAACATTGTTCTCAAATATCTGAAGAATTTTCAAATGGAAGGGCCATTGGATTTATGTCTGGCTACAAGAGATATAATACACATGTAAAAGGCTCATGGAGACAATATGACCTGTTATGTGGAAGAACTTTTAAATCCATGTCCAAGATATGCAAAGATGGAGCAAGCTGCGATTGGTGTAGAGTATTCGGATGTTGCAAGTGTTCACGCCTAGGCTGAATAACTATTTGGCAGGAGATTTTGTAATTTATTTTCCAAATAACATAATCCAAAAGATTTAAGCAAATAACTTTGGGCAGTCAGATAATTTATGGTAAAGCAAAAACTGGAATCCAGAACAAAGTGATTTCAAAGATTGTACTCTTTTCATTAAACCACATCATCTCCAGGAGATGATTTCGAAGGAGATTTAAATAATGGATGAGAATTTGATTAGAGGAATTTTAAGGTACCTTCCCAGACTGCAACTACATATTTCTCAAAGGAAACGGGAAAACCAAAATTTAAAATGCGTATTACATGTATTAAAAATGAGAGTGTCTGTTGCATTTAAGGGTCAGTTAATTTCAGTGAAGGCTCTATACTTACCAGGAGGCCTGGTTCCGGAACAGGAGAAGGTCTTGCAAACCGTTTGCTCAGTTTTCTCTTCTCTTTCCTCAGGTTTTGCATATTCTCAATACGTTTAGCCATGGACTTGGGGAAAATTAAAAGGAAAGAAAACAAATCATATCTTTTATAACAGAAAAAGGTAACATGCTGATTATAGTTTTGGTTTGTGGCAATAAAAAGAGATAAACACAATGAGTGTATATGGTTTACTTAGCAACGTGCAAGTGGGGAAAAGCCTTTTTTCAAATGTGCGGTTCACAGATGAAGAGAACACATTGGAGCATTGGTAGAGTTTTCAAATAAGACTCTTTACTCTTGATTCCCACTTCACCAACTGTGCACATTGTAGATCCAAGATTCAGGGATATATGTGTTTACTTTTATTTTAAAGGTAGTGTTCATTAAAAACCCCAAAGAGAGTTTCTTTATAGAAATAAGAAAACAAAATCCATGCACATTCTTTAGTTCTCTTAAATGCTGCATTTCACACAGAGCTTTTTATGTCCCCATTGTATGGCATCTGTATGTAGCAGAGACCTAGGGGATCAAACTAGAATGCTTTGAAGATAACGGAGTATTAGAGTGGAGAAGTTATGAGTAATAGGAACTTTCATCCACTTCGAATGGGAGTACAGTTGGTACAGCTGCTTTGAAAACAATGTGGCATTACTTTATAACAATGAAAAATCTGCCTTCCCTATGATCCACTCATTGTACTCCTTTCTGAATAATCAAGTGAAACTCTTGTTCAGAGAATGTTCGCAGTAGCAGTGTTCCTTATAGGAAAATGTGGAAACAACCCAATGTCCATCAACAGGAGAAAGGATTAATACACTGGGATATGTTCCACAAGGGACATTAAACAGCAGTGAAAATAAACGAACTATAACTATGTACAACGTTATGAACGAATCTTAGGAAACAGTGTTGAGTAGAAAGAATAACTCATATACTAAATTTTGTGTGACCATATGTTTATGAAGTTCAAAACCAAGCAATATACTTTCAGAGGCACATAGGTGACAAACTATTAAAGAAAACATGAGATTGATAACAGTAAAATCCAAGATAGTGGTTACCTCTGGGAGATATGCAGGGAGGAAGAGGGCAGCAGCCCCTAGATGAGTTCAAGAATACCCATATCATGTTTTCTTAAGTTGGAGCTATATTTTATTATTCTGCTTTACAAGTTATGCTACATATATTCTTGTGTAAGTATCAAATGTTACATTAAAAAACGAGAATATAAGCCAATTAGGTTATCCATTTAAGACTCATTCTAATAGTTGTCACAAGATCCCAGAGTCCCGAGGAAGATAATGCAAGTGTCTGGCTCATAAAAGTTCTATCACATTAGGGACCACACATAAAGGAACATGGTAAAGTCACAATTTTGCAATACCCAAAATTATTTATTTAAACGTTACCTGCCTTGCAGTGACCTCTGAAGGATGGTACCTCCTTGGTCCTTCCTACATAGAACGTTAAATTAAAAAAAAAAAAACCATAAAAGTGGTGAGCAAACAAAAAAATTAGTTATTATAATAGGAATCCTACGCTACTGTTTTTTTTTTTTAATTAAGTAATATGTGTATATTTTCTCAACTGCAAGAGGAAGGATCAGAATAAGAACACCGAGGTAAAAATCAGGGGGGATGGCGATAGTATTACGAGAAAAAAGAATGAGCTGTGAACAACATTAAGGGAACACGTAGAGTCTTGAGATTTATTCTGGAAGGAAAGGGTCTACAAGAAATCCAAAAATGCATGTTTCTGTTGGTATGTGACTTCAATGGTGCCACGCTGCTCTTCGCTTAAGAACTGTCTTTAGTGTGGCTTCTAAAGCCTGGGAAAGCTGGGGTGACTGAGGAACCCCAGGAGGTGTATGGTTTTCTGAGGCATACGGATAGTGGTTGTTATGGAGTTATGGAGTTCCCACTCCTTCCCCTAATTTCTAAATCGTACCTTAAACACTCCCCTCTCTTTATTTTGATCTAGTTGTTTAACCCAAAGACCCAAAAGCAATCTCCTCCCCATCTGAATATTGAGAAGTTTATGCTGCCCCCCACCTTTGTAATCCCCACCCCACCTTCTAGGGCGGGTCAATGGGTCGGTTAGCAAACATGACTGAGCGAGCCTGGCTCCTAGCAAGCGCAGGGTGGGGCTGTGCCTCGTCCTGGGTGGGCCCTGCATCCCGGGATCTACTCTGTCTGCTTCCCTCGGGGTTCCCCATCCCCGGCACCCACGCGGGGCGCGGACTCACGGGGTTGACCTGGGCGGCGTCGTCGCCGGTACAGCGCAGGCACATGCTGCAGAGCCTCGAGCGCCCGGCGCCCACGCCTCGCCCCGAGCCCGCGACCGCGGGCCGCGCCG